TCTTTCACCCTATGCCTCTGTTACCTAGCAGTAAATAGGTACCTGGGAGTTAGTCAGCTGTCACGGGCTGCTTCCAGGTGTGTGTGTGTGTGTGTGTGTGTGTGTGTGTGTGTGTGTGTGTGTGTGTGTGTGTGTGATGTGAAAAAAAAATAGTAGTAGTAGTACTAGTTAGAAACAGTTGATTGACGGTTGAGAGGCAGGCCGAAAGAGCAGAGCTCAACCCCCGCAAGCACAACTAGGTGAATATATTGGACTGTTCACTCTCGGTGCCAACCTCACACTTGCATACTCACACTAGACTGTTCACTCTCGGTGCCAACCTCACACTTGCATACTCACACTAGACTGTTCACTCTCGGTGCCAACCTCACACTTAAGTTCTATAATATGCAGCACCAGAATTGAGTTCCCCCTTGTAAAGTGCAAGTAAAAAATCTAGAAAGGACTAGAGGCTTGTTATGAGACTTGTGCCAGAGATATAAACTTAGTAGAAAACACTAAGAGGACTTAATGACACTAGAAGAGAGAAGGATCAGAGGTCATATGATCATAATAAACAAGATACTGAAGGGAAGGGAACTATCAGGAGAAAGGGCCAAGCCATTAATTACACCTATACTGTATATATAGGACTTGGATGGGATCAGGATAAGGATTTGGGATGGGATGGGGGGAAGGAATGGTGCCCAACCACTCGAGCATCAGGGATTGAACACCAACCTGCATGAAGCAAGAGCGTTCCTCTACTGAACAAGATACTGAGGTAAATATATGAAGTGGATAGAGACAGACTTTTCCAGATAATGGAAAACAGAATGAAGAAGCACAAGTGGGGGCTAGAAACACAAATAAGTTGGAGATTAAGAAAACACACGTTCAGTGCAAGTGGTAAACAAGTAGAATGCACTTGAAGCAGAAATCATAGGAGCCACTTTAATTTATAGCTTTAAAAGCAAGTATGACAAAGTAGAAGAAAGTCAGGACGTATAAATGCACCAGTTACAAAAGCTATGAGGTAGGGCACTAGAGCTCGCTCCCAATAGGTAAGGATGAACACACTAAACTGCACTTTCTCGGCATTAAGCTCATGCTCATGTAGCTCCCTTCACTCTTATTTACTAAAACCATATCGTCTTCAGCAATAAACTTTTAGTACAGTATAATGTTTTTGTCAGCACAATATTGTCTGAACATCAAGGCAGCTTAAAAGTAAAGGAGTTCAGCTTATTAAACATATACAGAACTGAACTATGTACTTAAAATTATTTACACAAATTTGTCCAGACCATACAAATCAGTTCATGGCCTTTCATAAAAATATACTTTCAAATAAAGGTTATTTTTTCCAAGCCATAACTATATATTGGTTGTTACAAAACACAATATATGTCACGAAAACTAAGTCATTGTCATACTGACTAAAACATTCTTGTGCAGTAATGTCTACATTTTATAGATACAATTTTGCTATGTTGTCAAGTTGCAATATCAGTGACCAGTACAGTGTAAGACATTTGTAATTGTTTGGCACATTAAAGTGTGGACTGGCAACCACTGATGATACATGTAAATGAAACTTAGACTTTGAAATCTGAAATGGCCCTTCTTGTACGCCAGAAACATAGCCACGCAACACACAGGCCATGTTGGTAATGATCACAGCAAGATCATATTAAAACCAATATGAATTACCTAGAAAACACAACAACTTACTAAATATATAATTCAAACAAGAAAAATAAATAATCCAAAACCATGATAAATATTATTGCACATAATGCACAGTATGTACTTCAGGTGGAGGGAGAGCATCTTTTGTATATACTTTAGATAAATAAATAATGTACAAAACCTAAAAGACCCACTAAAATTTAGTGAATCCTTCCACTAAATTGCACTCATGATGAAATGGCATAATAAGCATTAATTAGTTCAAACCAAACAGTCTACAAATATAATTTCCCTGAGTTCACATATGACTGCCACTCTTCCATTTATGAACAAAAACATCATTAGATTTTATTGTTGCTTTTGTTTAGCTGTTATTGCATTACTAAACCACAGGCTAAACCAGCCATGAGATTATCATCTTCACTCTAAGAATTACACAGATGTCTGATAGCAGCAGATTCAGTTAACAGAAGCAATTAACCCTTTTGGTAATAAGAAAATGCTAGCAAACCTCTTCCCAAGAGAGGGTTATAAAATATGGCTTTAAGAATAAGTCACAATATCATATCTTTATGATCTTTCCTGAAAACCATTCCTGCCATACTGTACTTGTGGCTGGCAAAGTTTGTGTTATTAAGTACCCGATACACGTATATAGTTTTATCCCACATGCAGTTAAATTTGGAGATCAGTCGATTGCAGTTGTAATCCCTTTTAAATAAATCTTTACCTCTAAGTTCATCACTTTCAAAATTTATATCATATTCATGAAGTAGGCCCATAGCATATACACATATTTTGTATTTTCATGAATTTGGGAGTATAGTCATGATCACTCTTCCACATCTAAAATAAAATTGGTAAAATAATCATGGTAAAACATTTGTGAAGGTTAGGCAGTGATACCATACATAATGATAACATTTTCTATTATCAGTTGCCTTCAATTATTGAATTGAGGAAGCAAAGCATGTCATATGACTTACTACCTCCTTCCATGGTGTCCTGGATTAGCTGTTCCAACTACTTAGATTGATGAGTGGAGTGACAGCCTTGCTTCTTATAGGGTTGGTGTTCAATCCCCAATGATCCAAGTGGATGGGCACTGTTCCTTCACTTCATCCTCAAGTCCCAGCTCCTTGTCCTCATATCTCTTCCAAGTGCTCTGGTGTTTAGTCACACCTAACTTAGTGCTCTCACTTCATAATTGCCTTACCTTAGTTAACCGTTTATGCCATATGTACAATGCTCTCAAAAAGGTTAATAGCTCCAGACTAAAGTAAAATCTATTAAAATTATACATGAGTATTGTGATACATTCCTTCTTCTTCTACTACCAGAAATCATATCACCTAAGACCAGATGGCCTAAATTATATAGTATCTAGGTTAGCTACAATTATTAGTTAACAATATATAATTATGCTAAATAGCAAAAAAAGACTACAGTACTATAGCCAATACTGTACTTTATATGATAAATGCCATATATTTAATATGCTCTGTAGGTATATTTAAAAGAATGAGCTTACAAGGATAAGAGTATTACAATGTACACTGTAGAAGTACCGTATTGTACATTAGTGTACTTCAGTTCTACCTACATGAATGGTGGCACTTTTTTAGCACAAAATTGAGAGGCAACTTTGCCATTAAAATAAACTATTCTAAAAGAATAATAAGCATTACTTGTCTGTTTGAATAGACCACAAGAAGTTTGAAAAAAGCACCAAATCCTTGAATACATAGAACAGAATACGTTTCCTTCTATTTGCTAGTATAAATAGTGCAGGCTCTAGGACACAAGATCAGTTCTGAATACTGTTCAGCAATTTTGAGTACATGAATAAGGCCACCCTCAGCACCCCTACGGGTATACAGGAACCTCCAAACTATACTACCCCACCAACACACCCAAACACAACACACAATTGCTGGCAAAGTAATTACCTAATCAATATAAAAACAGGTTTAGACATTATGTAGGTGGTGTCCCAGTTTTAATCATTCTTACAACAGCAAAAAGTGAACTAGCAGGGAATGAAGCAAATGAATTCAAGAATTTAACCACAGAAAAATTAATAATAAGTGTTCAGGCTAGATTAAGCAAGATGGAAAAGTGACAAAACTTATATATAAAGTGAGTTGTCAGTAAGTAGATTAGGTTACAGGCTAGAATTGAAAGTCATGATAATGTCATTGAACAAATGTTTCAGGAAACTCAGATCCTGAACAATTAGCACACTGGTCTATGTCCGCAACTCAGAACTGAGGGACCTGGTTTCAATCCCGAAGTGGAACAGAAATGATTAGGCATGTTTCCTTTCATCTAATGTCTCTTCACCTAGCAGTAAATAGGTACCCTGGAAGTTAGGCAACTGTTCTGGGTTGCATCCTGGGAAGGGTGAGTAGTTGACCTAGGGGGATCTTGATAAGCTTAAGTACAGGCGTCCAATTCCCGATAATGGAAATTAAGTCAAAATTAGAGGAGATTCTAGGTAGAAAGATAGCACAGTAGCTTCTATCTTTTGCCAAGGTCCCCCAGGGTCAATCGTTGGCCCATTCCTTCAAGAGCACAGTGCGGTACACAAGTTTGCACTTGTGTGGCTCAGCCTTGGTTTCTGGCACTTCGAACCCAGTGTCCGAATTTGGGCATTTTCCACAATTCCGCCAGTATCAACTGGTCAGCCCAACAATGTACCTCGCTAATTCAACCTTCTTCTCTGTTATACTCATCTGGAGTTTTTGAGATGGGTCTATTGTCATTTGTATGATAAGCAGGTGGCTGTGTTATTGGTATCCCACCTGTATCTTTCTTCACAGCAGCAGTATGAAGTTACCTGGTGCTCATTTTGCCTCTGTCTCTTCAATCCTTTCTTCGATTTCAGTCTGGGTGGTACTGTCCTTTTTGTCATGATTGTTTCTTGATAGGCATCTCATGCTCAATACTGTCACCTCTTATCATTTGGCATTGGCAGAGCCACTGTTGCTTGTGTTAGGCATTGACTTAAATTCAGCACTGTTCCATAGGTTGTCTTGTACATTTTCTCACTTCCAGCCTGATCATGCTCCTCCCAAGCTGTCTTGGTCTCTTGATAGGGTTTTGGCATTGCTCTCCTCTCCTTGGTTCACAGATGCCCTTGCCCCTTTGGCTAAAGATGTCTTTGTTAATACAGTGTTTTTGTTAGCTTGCACCTTTGGGTGCCAGGTGCGGACATTCAGGCTCTTCTCCAAACGGGGAAGTACCCACCTAGCACACAATGAAACTACGACGTTGCTACAATGTTCAAACAAGTTTTAACCCGTCCTAATAAGTTGTAACAACCAATATACCAAGTTGTAACTGTTCTAATACGTCATAAAAACATTATAACAAGACATAACAACTATTACAAGCTGTAACAAGCAGAAAATGGGGACAATTACGTTATGTGTTTGCAGGGTATTGCTTTTTTGTCCCTGGCAGATGTTTTCTTCATCTGCAGCCTTCTCCCTCTTTTCTGGGCAAAGAATGCATCAGCTAGCTTTCAAAGAGGACCATTGGTGATTGATGCTTGGTTGGTCCAGCCAGGGGTGCATCATTTATTGTCTGGTGGCAGCTCTTCGTTGCTATCTGCAGGCCACTAGTTCTGCCTTGGTTGATGCATTGTTGGTTTACCACTTTTCCTTGGGCCTATGTTCCACATTCTCATTCCTAAAGTCATCTGTGGTGTTATTAAATCAACCCATCCTCTTGTTTAGATAGTAATTTTTGTAACTATGTGGGCCATTGTACATACTGTATATTGATGTAATGAGCAATTAAATAGTGGAATTTGATACTATTCACTTTATGGAGTCTGGGAAATATAGAGCTAAAAAGCAAACTTAAAAATTCCTAGGCCTAGTATAGCACATATACTGTATGTCGTATATTAAGCCTAGGATGGTTAGGCTAGGTTTTATTAGCAAGATAAATATGAAACATTTTCTAGTTTATCCAAATTCAATAGTAGGAAATTCTAGTTTTTAATTGTCCATTACATCACTATATGTTCAATGGCCCACATTGTTACTGTAAGTACTATCTAAACACGAGGATTGGCTACATTAAATCAGGCCAGATTTATGATGTTCACAAATATGCTACATTGGCAGTGGTTTTTTCCAATATGTCCTGGGCTTGTATTTGAGCTCAGGGGTTTTGGTGGTCTAACAGAGTTCTAGCAGCCCAGAATTTGTTTAATGTTCCTAGTCCTAGTTGGTCTTGTGTTGCTCCGAGATGAGTTTTCTAGCCTGAGGCCTCTTCCTCGTCTTAGTACCTGCCATCTCTCCTACTTCTTAGGAAGTCCCTGGCTTCTTTCTGTGTGGTTATTTAGCTTCACAGAGCCACATGGGGCTCTACCAGAAACCCAACATTTAATGTAATGAAGTGCCTCTTTCTGGTAGAGCCCCAGTGGCTCTATGATTTATCCCCTCCCCTCCAAGGTTCGTCAGTTCATTGGTGGGACTTTTATTAGTTCCAGAACTGCTCCGGAGGAGCCAGCTGTGACTATTGGTACTAATGGGTTCAAACTAGTTTTGAGTGATCCAATTGTTTTGTTTTAATTGTTTGCAGAGTTGTTTGGCTGTTTCAAGGTTTCATTTTCCATGAACCTTGCAGTTGTCTGTAAAGCTTCACAGACTTTCAAACGGAATTCCTGCTTATGATGTGACCCTGTAGTTTGGAGCACTTTGAGCGAGATATCTTCAGTTCATTGATATTGTCAATGATATCGTTCTTTATGTGGGAGCCCCGGTGACTCCCACTGTAGCTCTGCCAGAAATGCATTTCGTTATATTCAATGGAGAGTTTTAATTGTTCACTTTTTCTTTATAGAAAACCGAAGTCAGTATTGGTGACAGAGTCAGGTTTATTATTTATGTTGTGCTTCTCTGCTGCCAAATTGACCTCCACCAACGTATCGATACTGTTAATACTTGTGCCGCACAAAATCTTCTGAGCAGCTAAAGAGCTAAAATTAAGATTGAGTTCTGAAAGGCTCGGATACGTACTTAATGACATACCTTCTGTGTCTGGACTGCCACCAACTTTGTTTTCATCTCTCACAACGCAACCTGGACTTCTATCATTTTCATCCTTAGACATTTTTTGCTTATTGTCTGAAACTACAATGTTAGCCTCATTTTGAGCATCAGCCCCAGGAGATACTTTCTTCTTGGGCGAGCAAAGACACTGCTGTTTGGAATAAGAGGTAACCTGTTGGTGCTGTGTGTGGGTCACTGTCTGCTGCTGCACCTGATCAAGGGTCTGGCTGCACATTTGTTTGTGGCATTTGTCCACTTCTTGATAACCTAAATTCCGAGAGGTGAGATCTTGACATGGACCTTTGCTAATATCAGTCAGCCCACTGTCATTGTGTAACATATTATTTTTAAGCCCTTCTGGACGCTGTGGGGATGACACAACTTTTCGGGAATTATTCATGTTGGTGGCTAGGTCCAGTTGCAGAGAGGAGCGGTCATACTGTAGAGAGATGTCATCACTCTTCCCGGGCAGCCCTCTCTTTAGTTTTTGCAGTTGACAGTTTTCATTCCATTTCTCTTCCTTACATTCAAGCTTTTTACTGGATTGTGAGGTTCTAACTTGCTGCTCTTTCTCATTTCTTTTTAATTCAATAATTTTTTTATTCTTCTCTTCTTTATTCTCACAAGAAATATTTGTATTTGATTTTAAATGATTTGTCTGGCATTTTTTATTTGCATCACTTGCTATTGTGTCTTTGTTGTCTTGTCTGTCTTTCTCTCTTCTCTGCTGCCTCTCTGTACTTCGGTTCTTTAGATTACTTTCCTGCTGCTTGTGATTCTTGTCTTTTATACTGTGGTGTGACCTGTGCTTGTGTTGTTGGCTCACTTGGTTCTCATATTTTTGTGCCCGATCATCTTGCACTGTTCTCTCCTCTCTCTCTCCAGAGCTCTTGCTAAGGGTCTCTCCCGACTTCTTTGTGTTAACATCTGCAGACACGTTAGCACATGTAAATTCTAATGTTTCTTGTAGTTCCTCTTTAGATTGTTTTTGTTTTAGCGGAGTCTGTTTTTTCCTGGCTGCCTGTGCCGGCACTCTGGTTATATTTGTTTGAGATTCTATTATTGAGTTGTAAAGATGATGTTCTTGAATTTCCTTCTTTGTAGATTCCTGGTTATTGAGACTACGTCTCTTAGGTGACAACTCATGAGAAGAGCAACTGCCATTTACTTTTATTTCAGAATTTTTATGAACTGGCGGTCTATGTCTATGATTTTCAATATTATGGCAAGTTGGTAATCGATGTTTGTGATTTTCAGTATTTGAATGAACTGGTGATCGGTGTTTGTGATTCCCGGTGTTTGAATGACCTGGTGATCGATGTTCACGATTGTCATAATGTTGGTGCGCTGGTGATCGATTCTTGTGACTCCTCATTATTAAAAGAGGCTCCCCACAATGGTTTATGGGTGAAGCCTCAACCATGAGCCTTTCTTCTTTTTCCTTGGCAGGCGTACGAGAACAATGAGATGGTGACATTTGAAGTTGCATATGAGAAAGAAAATGAGAATCTTGAATGTGAATGAGAGACATGTGCTGTGGTGCTGCACTGGATGAATCTGATCTCTGTGAAAGTGGAGGAGTGGAAGATTGGGGTCGTCGTAGTCGTCGTGGAAGAGTCGCAGAACGTGGCGTCCACTGTGATGTAGCAGACCACCAAAACTCCTTTTCTTCCTGCTGAAGGAATGCAGATTAAGGAGAAATGTATGATTATTCTATATACATATATATATATGTATGTGTGTGTGTGTGTGTGTGTGTAAATCACGAAAATTAACACACGATAAAAACCAGCGTTGAATGTAATGAAACACCATTTTCTAGGTGAGTCCCGGAAGCTCCCTGGAGCTTTCCCAGGCTGACATGCTAATGTCAGACTTTGGCATCAGTCATGTGTATGGAGTTCTTAGGCCTACCGGGGACCACGGCCAGAACCAGGTCCCCCTCACAGAGGCAAGGGAAGCAATGGCCTATAGAAACCCCCGTGTGGTTGGAAGCATTTTATGTCTGCCATCGACCGGGACAGGCACCCAGAAAGATAAGCGCCCAAAACAAACCCCTATTCTGGTGAAAATTGCTACCAAAAACCGAACTAGTGGATAGAACTCCTCAACTGAAAACAAGCAAACTAGTGTGACGTCACACGTCGCCACGCCGCTGTCTGCGCAGCTCCCCCCTCCCCGGGAGGGGGAAGGGGGAGCCCCAGACCCTCCACGCCGGCTACCCACACTTCAGTTCTTGAGGCTGGATGTCAAAAACGCAAAAAAAAACGCCGACCGGAGGGAGGGAGGGATGCCGGGGAGCCTCTGGGACTCACCCAGAAAATGGTGTTTCATTACATTGCTGGTTTTCTGGGGGGAGCCCCGTCGGCTCCCCGGATCTAACTACCCACAGACGGTAAAAGAGGGACTTACCCGGGAGGCGGTCGTTGCTCCCTCCTCAACTCGAAGTCGAGACAACTAGCTGCAACCGCCGACCCAAAGCAACACAGGCCTGACGGGGCCCGGGGACATTCACAAGGTAACGAGCAGCCAGGACCCTGTTCGACCGCCAAAAACCCCGCGCCCGAATATCAGACCAAGACATATTCCCAAAGACGGCAGCAAGAGCCGCGAACTTACAGACGTCATGGGCATGGGGATAGACCGCAGGCTGGCTGGACTTTATAACCCTGCGGACGACCTGGGAGACCTGAACCCGCGAACAGGGAAGACGGGAAACAGGATCAACCCAAAGCGCATCCCCAGACACAGAAGCCGTGGCGCACTAATAACGGCAAAGCGCCGCAGACACAAAACATGATGCACCCCCGGCCGGACCAATCAAGCATCAACCACCCACTGACCCCTCTGGAACGCAGCAGTTTCATTCTTCACCAGAAAAGAAGGAGACAGCTGCAAGCGAACAAAACAATCTCTACGACCTAAAGGCCAGAAACCCCTGCGCCGGAGGAGAGCATGAAGCTCCCCAACCCGACCCCCAGGGGCTAATGCCAACAAGAAAAGAGCCTTGGAGAAACATTTCCGGACCGAAGGGGCCACAACGAAACGAGGAGATTAAAGGTAAGCGAGCACTCTGTCCAAAGACCAGGACAGCTCAGGCGGCGCATGAGCAGGCTGGAGATGAAACAAGGCACGAGACAGCTTGCGAAACGGCGCAGACGTAACATCGATACCGAAGGCAAGCTGAAGCGGCTCCGCCAACGCCGCACGATACGAGGCGACAGTGTTAGGCATAAGACGGTGGTCCTGAAACGACCAAGAGAGAAAGGACAAGACCACCCTAACAGACAACGAATTAACACAACGAAGACGCAAAAAGAAACAGAAGGACCGCCAGGAAACTTCATACTGCCGCCGAGAAGAAGCCCTCAGGTGGGACACTAACCAAGAGGCCACCCGATCACCATAGAGATGACGATAGACTCGAGTCAAAAAACCCATACGCGAAGACTCGAGGAGAAGATCGAACCAGCCACGTGACGTACCGGACCGATCTGCTGAAAGAGGCGGAGACACGGGAAAACCCTCAGGTTCGGACACCGAGCAAGCAGCGCCTGAAACCAAGGCTGGGCCGGCCACCAAGGAGCCAGAAGGACAACTCTTACCTGGTAAATCTCCAAGCGAGTCAGGACCTGGAGTAACAGCCGAACCGGGGGAAAGAGGTACAGGAACCCCCACCTCGACCAGTCTAGCCGAAAGGCATCAACCCCAATGGCCTCACGATCGGGGAAGGGCACCGCATACACGGGAAGACGCCTCGACCATGCCGACGCAAAGAGGTCCACCTCGGGGCGCCCGAACGTCTGGCAAAGCCAATGGAAGGAAACGTCGTCGACCGTCCACTCCGTGGAGAGGGGAAACGAAGCGAGACAGGCCGTCGACCAAGACGATGAACACTCCCCACACGTGAACCGCCAGGAGAGCCAAACCCAGAAAACTCAGCAGACAAGTCACCCGAAGCGACTAACCCCAAAGAGGCAAGGACCGCATCGAACCCCCGCGGTTCAGGCAATGAAACACCGGAGAGCAGTCCGAATGGTGCCGAACCGTCGATCCGCGGGCGACCCGAATCCTCCGAAGAGCAAACCACACTGCCGCGAACTCCCACATCGTGCTGTGAGCTCAACGGAAGGACGGACCCCAACGCCCCTGGCGAGCACTGGTCACAAAGCCGCAGCCGAGAGACGACGCATCCATGTACACATCGAGCGAAGACTCGGGTAGGCGCCAGGGCACTGAACCCTGAAAAACCCGAAGAGGAAGTCGGCGACACAGCAGCCGACACAAGGTCCCCGGGGGTCGAACCCAGCGATGCAAGAGAGGCGGAAGGGGTGACCCCGAAGAAACCAGAACAGCTGACGAGCCAAACTCGACCCGGCGGGTAGACAACCATCATGAAGTTCAGGCTCCCGCACAGCCCCTTGAGCAACAGCCGGGTGACCCGAGGGCCCCCCAGAAACAGACGAAGGCGGGACCGCAGTCGCAGGAGAGACTCCGGAGGGAGAGACAAGGAGGCGGTTCGAGAGTCCCAAACGAGACCCAGCCAAGTCCGAACCTGAGAGGGAACCAGATGGGACTTCCTCCAGTTCACCAGGAACCCGAACCTGGTGAGCTGGGAAAGAACCAAATCCCTGGCTAGCAAGCAAGCTGACTGGTTGGGAGCCCAAACCAGCCAGTCGTCGAGGTAGGCCAACACCCGAACACCTAGGAGATGCAAACGGGCCACCACGACCCGCGTAAGGCGCGTGAACATGCGAGGTGCCAGGTTCAACTCTAACGGGAGACAACGAAAGCAGTAACTCAGATGCCCCACAACAAAACTGAGCCAGTCCCTGAACCGCGGATAAATCGGGACATGCCAATAAGCGTCCCAGAGGTCCAGGGACACCATCCAAGTGCCCGGCTCCAAGAGGAGCCGAACCTGAGACAGTGTAGTCATCCGAACGGAGGGGCAATGAACCCAGGAGTTCAGATGAGACAAGTCCAGAATGAACTGCAGGTCCGCGCAGTCCCGTTTCGGGACCGGAAACAGACGGGAAACCCATCTGAGGGACGACGTCGTTTCGACGATGCCCAAGCAAACCCACTCCAAGATGACCTGACAGAGCGCAGGGGAAGAAACCTGCCCTGCCAACCCCAAACCCCCCCCAATGGGGGGGGGCCACCCAACCCCACCGCAGGCCGACAGACACGACCCGAAAGGCCCACGAATTGTGGGACCAGGCATGGGCGAACAGTGCAAGCCGCCCCCCATTTCCTGTGGAAGCCTGTGGAAGGTGGCCCCAAGCCCCAAGGGCAGTACTTACAGGGCACCTAGGGAAAGAAGCCCTAAGCGCAGGCAGCCCGAGTACTGAAGATAACTCCTGGCTCTCGCACCCACAAAAACAAACACCACACGCAAAGCACAGTGCTGTAGCGACACTTGTGCCAGAGCACACGACCTTCGCCTATAGCAACAGCCTCAAGAACTGAGGTGTGGGTAGCCGGCGTGGAGGGTCTGGGGCTCCCCCTTCCCCCTCCCGGGGAGGGGGGAGCTGCGCAGACAGCAACGCGGCGACGTGTGACGTCACACTAGTTTGCTTGTTTTCAGTTGGGGAGTTCTATCCACTAATTCGGTTTTTGGTAGCAATTTTCACCAGAATAGGGGTTTGTTTTGGGGCGCTTACCTTTCTGGGTGTCTGTTCCGGTCGAAGGCAGACATAGAATGCTTCCAACCACACGGGGGTTTCTATAGGCCATTGCTTCCCTTGCTTCTCTGAGGGGGGCCGGTTCTGGCCATGGTCCCCGGAAGGCCTAAGAACTCCATACACATGACTGATGCCAAAGTCTGACATTAGCATATCAGCCTGGGAAAGCTCCAGGGAGCCGACGGGGCTCCCCCCAGAAAATGTGACCGTGTCAGACCACGGAGGAAGAATTGAAATAGGAATTTCCTTAAGTACTTTCGTATATTAATACATCTTCAGAAGGAATCACTGTCCTTATAACACTGTAACACTGTCATATATGTGTGTGTGTGTATATATATATATATATATATATATATATATATATATATATATATATATATATATATATATATATATATATATATATATATATATATATATATATAAACAGTAACACATACAGTATTTACATATCTATGATAAAACTATTAATATTCTTTGAATTAAACAGGTTGCATAACATAAAATTTCTCCAGGACAATCCAGCTAGTAAATATTTCTGCACCTCTTTCATGAGCATACTTAATTCTTGTCATTCATTTATTCCTACCCTTTACATGCAGACCATATGTTTTATAATGAGAACAAATCTTGTTGGAATTGGAGTGAGAATGAGTTAATGGACGTTAACATTTAAACCTCACAGACTTTATTTGGAAGTTCTGAGAAAGTTTCTACATGTGGCTGTCCTTATCCCTATCCCCCCCCCACCCTCCACCTCAAGCATAGGAAATTCCCAGTGGAAGCAAGGCATCATCACTCTACATAGATTTAGAGTTGTTTTTTCTAAGGGAGAGCCCCGTCAGCTCCATGAAACTATCCGAACTGATATGTGCTATATTAGCTTGGAGTCATCAGTCACTTGGAGTTCCTATGCCTACCAGTAACCCGAGCCAGAACCTGGTCCCCTCAGGCATTGACTACTTTACATTTAAAGTGTGTCACATTCTGCCATCAGCCGGAGTGGGCACCCAGAAAGATAGGCAGGTCAATACAAACGACTAGCCAGTAAAATGCGACCTACAGCCAGAAAGAGCAAAGAAACTCCTGCTAAAAGAAAAGTATCAGAAAATAACTGAAACTGACAATCTTGCCCTCAACTAGAACTCCTGCTTGTTAGTATATCCCCCCTACCTCATAGGGGGAAAGGCTGCCCGCTCAGGCGAGCCGGCTACTTGCGATCTTAGTTCTTGGCTGATGTGCTTGGCAGTCAGCGGTCACCTCTTTCCTTGCTTCCCTGTTCTGGATTTTGCCCTGTGTGGTTGTACCAGCAGTGCGTGTGGTGTGATGGTCAGGTGTTTTCTGGTACTTGGAGCTGCATGCACCCAGGTTACCCTGAACTGGATGCTCCGTAAGTACTACCCTCGCACGCCAGGGTTACTTTCCCTGGACATTTGGGATTCACTCTCCGTTAAGGGCTTCATTGCTTGACACTGTCTTTGCCCTTGGGATAAGTCAGGGGTTTGGGGCTTTCCGTCTTGCCCTGAGTAGGGGAGTGTTACTGGCTGGGAGGGGGGGGGGCACACTGTGGCTGGCACCCTTCTGCTGCTAGTTTGCTTGTGGTGTTTTTTCAGTGGCTTATTAAATTTTCATTTTGGGAAATTTTTCCTCATGTGGACACTCAGAAGGTATGCATGCTGCGCAGCACTGATGCGCTCCAACCAGGAACAACAACAACAACACTCCCTACCCAAAGCCAAACAAAGGCCACAAAACCCCAGCTGGCCCCAAGGCCGGTGTAAGCCCGAAGATTTTAGGGCAAGGCAACCCTAGAACCCAAGGGTAGTACTTACAGGATGCTTAGGGAAGACAGCCCAAAGCTCATGCAGTCCCAGAACACTACATTACTCCTAGCCACCGTGCCACAAACAGCAGGAAAACACCACAGGTGCACATAAGCTGAATTTCCAGGGGACACATTCTAAATATATAAAAAAAAGTTTCAAAAACTGTTGGCATTCTTTCTAAGATCAGATATTAAGTACCTCGCCCTGACCTGGTGACACTCTATTACTCTCTCATCTATCCTTATCTCAACTATGGTATTTGTGCTTGGGGTTCTACTACCCAAAATCATTTACGTCCTCTAATTACTCAACACAAAGCTACTATTAGAACAATATCTAACTCTGGCCCCAGACATCACTCGGTACCCTTACTCAAATCTCTAAATATGTTAGATATTAAGTCACTGCACATCCTCTCATGTGTATTTTATATATATAAAACGTTGAACTGTAATGTCAATCCTGACCTTAAAAACTTCCTAGAAGGTTGTAACAGATCCCATGAGAACCACACCACAAACAAATACCTATTTGATATTCCAAGAGTACGACTTAGTCAAACTAGAAATGCTTTACAAATCAAGGGACCTCGAATGTGGAATGACCTTCCCAATTATGTTAAAGACTGTACTTCTCCCAACCAGTTTAAGATAAAAACTAAGTACCACCTAATTAACTCAATGTAACCTACCTCACCCCTAAATGTCAACCTATGTCAGCCCATGTCTATGATTTTAAACAATGCTGTTTGTTGACCAAATTGAAATTTTGCTTTTTTCTGCCATGTTTTCCCCCCCATTTTTTTAATTTTTTTCTGATTTTTTCTCAACACAATTTATACTTTAATCTAAGTTAGTATTAAGTTTTAGTCTTAGTGATTTTCCTGCCCGAAACGCTTTGCATAATAGTGGCTTTAGGCATTGTATGTACTAGCTCTATCTATAAATCCATCAACTTTTGTATTTCACCTTGTATGTATGTACTTTACCTGAATAAATATTTGTATTTGTATTTTGTATTTGTAAAATCCATCAAGAAACTGAGACCAGAGTTGACAGCCACCCCAGAGCATTAAGGCCTATGAACTGAGGTGTGAGTAGCCGGTGCGAGGGTCCAGGGCTCCCTCTCCCGGGGATGGGGAGGGCTGTGCGGATAAGTGACACGGTGGCGGTGAATGATGTTTGCATGTTTTCTTGTTTTCTTTGTTTTCTTTTGGGCAGTTCTGTTTATCTGTTTGGTCCTTTTTGTGTGTGTATAATTTCCTACCATGTAGGGTTTGTTTTGAGATGTCTACCTTTCTGGGTGCCTAACCCGTCGATGGCAGATGGAATACCCCCAAATAGAAGGGGATTTTCCTAAGGCCATTGCTCCCTGCACCTGCTCCCTGCACCTGCTCCCTGCTCTCTGAGGGGGCCATGTTATGGCTAGTGGTCCCCAGTAGGCAAAACTCCATTGACTGAAGCCCCAGACTAATATAGCATATATCAGTCTGATAGCTCCAGGGAGCCGATGGCGCTTCCCACAGAAAAGTCCATTCATTGATGTCTTCGTTGGGATTCTAGGTCAGTGTTTCCAACCCTGCCTCCTGTGGTTCTACTCTGCCTGCAGCATCATCGCTGTCTGATATTGGATGAGCCCCTGGCCCCTGGAGCCTGAACTATGCCTGTGTAGGTATTTACCCTGGGCAGGGCTTGGTTCAGATGCTGTGCTGGTTCCTCCAGTTTGCCACTGCTGGGACCACTGGGTTTGAGCCCTGCCTGCCCTTTGTTGGCTCTTGCTTCCCTGGCTTCCTCTTCAGGCATTTTGGGGTTCAGTTCTGTGGAGTCATTCTTCCCCATTGCTCAATGTGGTCACATAGCCCTTTGCCTCTGGAATGGGGCTTTGTGACCAGTGCTTGCCAGGCCTCCCAGGGTTTGTGGTTAAAGCCATTCTGTCAGGCACACAGCACGGTCTGAAAGTGTGCAGCTGTGTGACATGCCTGTAGATTCAGTTTTTTTGTTTTTTTTTGGCTCCATTCTCTAGCTCCATTCCAACTGCTTACCAGTGGTTCATTTCCAAAATGGCAGGATTTGCTTCAGTCCTATCCCCTTTGGAGCTGGACTCTGTGTGTAGCTCAGCTTCTGGATTCTTGGGGTTTAGGTTTCACAGACCCTAAACCCCAAGATCTGTCCACAAGACAGATCTTGCTTCAGTCCCATTTCCAGAGTGGACAGTCAACGACCCATCTTTCCTTTATTTTTCTCCAAGATGGACCTCTTCACATTGGCATGAAATCAGCTACTTCCCTCGTATGTGGCTCCATTTCCCAATTACAAGGCTCTTGCAGTGGATGCCTTTTTGGCTGGGCTGGTCAAGGTAGAAGTTACATATATATCTTTTTCCTCCAGCTTAGTTGTTGCTACAGGTGTTGTCCAGATAGCAGCTGAACAATAGGAGGGTAAGCCTCCTGTCAACTTGGCAGTTGGTTCAACATGGGTTTCTGGCATTTCTAGCCCAGTGTTTGAATCTGGGCTCGCTTTCATGTCATAGCCTCTTTCAGCAAATTGGTCCAGTGACATACATTGCTGGTTTGACCTCCTTTGCTTAATGCATCTGGAGTTTCTGATGCAGGTTTGTCACCATTTGTATGGAGAGCAGGTCACTGTTTTGTTAATATTCCACCTGCATCTCTCTTTGTGGTGGCAGTACAGTATACAGTTGCCTGGCAGGCATTGCCTCTTTCTGTTGAAAATGAAGACTGTCATCTTCATTTTTTTTTAAGCCCTAGTTGCACCCTGACTCACTCCTTCCCTACCAGGTTCATCAGTTCATTGTTCATGAGCTTTGGACTGGTGAATTAAGCATAGGTTAGGGCTCCAAGCTGCCTGGTGGTAACTAGTGGCACTATTAGATTTACATAAGTGGCTCCCAGGACTGAAGGGCAAGAGCTACAAGGAGAGGTTTGAGGCATTAAATATGCCAAAACTAGAAGTCAGAAGAAAAAGCGGAGATATGATCACTACATACAAAATAGTAACAGGAATTGATAAAATTGATAGGGAAGATTTCCTGAGACCTGGAACTTCAAGAACAAGAGGTCATAAATTTAAACTAACTAAAGAAAGAAGCAGAAGAAATACTGTGTAAGAAAATTCACTTTCGCAAACAGAGTGGTAGACGGTTCGAACAAATTAGGTGAGAAGGTGGTGGAGGCCAAAACCGTTAGTAGTTTCAAAGCGTTATATGACAAAGAGTGCTGGGAAGACGGGACAACATGAGCGTAGCTCTCATTCTGTAACTACACTTAGGTAATTACTAGTTACAGAGCATCTCATGTTTAACTTCAATAGTTTGCAGTCATTTGGCTATTTCAGTGCTTCATTTTCTACGAGCCTTGTAGGTGTCTATAAAGAAATAATGTGTCCAATGACTGTGAGTTACTCATGAGCTTGACAATGTTACTGCTAGCCTGTGTGTGCTACTAATACATTTGCAAAGGAATTCAAAATGAACTTAACACACCTGCTTGTGTTGAGATAATGTCTGTATGGCAACACAGTGAAGATGGACGGCTGGAGCAGAGTTACTGCTCCACTCTGGAGGAGGAAATTGTGCGGAGAATGACCCCAAACGCCTTCGAGGTGACACTCTCAGTAACTTGCTCAGTACTGATCCTCGTTCTCCTGCTATAAAAAAAAAAATATTCAAGGCTTTCTTTTCATACTATTTCAACTTCATTCATAACTTTAAATGTAAATATGACAGAACCAAATAAGAACCTGTACACCAATTGGTCAAGAGTTGACAGGTAGTAACTAAAAGAGGTTATTCCCTGCAAGTACAAATAAGCGAATTCAATTCCATGCTTACTACAATTTGTTTTACTGCATCTTAAAATAAGCATCCACTACTTAAATATACATCTCAGTTACTCAAATATTATCTGCATTATTTAAACTGTATCTTCATTATATAGGCACCATCTCCACTTCATAAGCACTACTTATACTACTACTACTACTTATACTACTACTTTCTTCCTCTTCCTCTTTCTCCTCTTTCTCATCTACATTAATGACCTTCCAAATGCCTCCCAACACCTCAAACCAATTCTATTTGCTGACGACACAACCTTCATTTACTCCAGTCCTGACCCTCTTGCTCTAAATGCCACAGTAAATACTGAGCTAAATAAAGTCCATCTTTGGCTAACTGCCAACAAACTCACCCTTAACATTGACAAAACCTTCTATATTCTGTTTGGCAATAAATCCTCTAGTCTTATAAATCTCAAAATAAACAATACCCAAATTTGTAACAAATTAGATGGCAAATTCCTTGGCATTCTCATTGACCACAAGCTGAATTTCCAGGGACACATTCTAAATATATCAAAAAAAGTTTCAAAAACTGTGGGCATTCTTTCTAAGATCAGATATTATGTACCACGCCCTGCCCTGGTGACTCTCTATTACTCCCTTATCTATCCTTATCTCAACTATGGTATTTGTGCTTGGGGTTCTACTACCCAAAATCACTTACGTCCTCTAATTACCCAACACAAAGCCGCTATTAGAACAATATCCAACTCTGGCCCCAGACATCACTCGGTACCCCTACTCAAATCTCTTAATATGTTAGATATTAAGTCACTGCACATTCTCTCATGTGTATTATACATATATAAAACGCTAAACTATAATGCCAATCCTGATCTTAAAAGCTTCATAGAAGGTTGTAACAGAACCCATGAGCACCACACCAGAAATAAATACAGTTTTGATATTCCTAGAGTACGTCTTAATCAAACTAGAAATGCTCTGCAAATCAAGGGGCCCAGAATGTGGAATGACCTTCCCAACCATGTTAAAGACTGTACCTCTCTCAACCAGTTTAAGATAAAAACTAAACACTACCTAATAAATTCCCTGTAATCTACACCTCACTCCTCTATTGTCAACCCATGTCTGTTTTTTTTTTTTTTTTTTTTTTTTTTTTTTTTTTTTTTTTTTTTTTTTTAATCAACACTGTTTGTCAACCTATTGTATTTGTGCTGCTTTTTCAGTCATGTTCCCCCTTTTTTTTTATCTTTATTTGTATTTGTTCTCAACATCTTTTATTCTTTATGCTCAATTAGTATTAAGTTCTAGATATTAATGTTTTCTTGCCCGAAACGCATTGCGTAATAGTGGCTTTAGGCATTGTATGTACTAGCTCTATCTATATATCAATCCATTAATGTAACATCACTTGTATGTATATACCTTACCTGAATAAACATCTGAATCTGAATCTGAATCTGAATCTTATATATTTCAGCCCTATAGGATTTTTTTTAACAATATTCTATGCAAAAACAGTATACGGGCTCCCAGCCAGCCCGCGTGTCTGCTCGCCAGGGATTTGGTTCTTTCCTAGCTCGCCGGGTTCGGGTTCTCGGTGAACTGGAGGAAGTCCCATCTGTTTCCCTTTCAGGTTTGGTCTTGGATGCGGCGCCCGGGGCAGGATGCGCGAGTGACTGATATACAGAGGATGCCGGGAATATATTTTTGTTTATTTTCTGCGAATAGTTCCAAATACATTTTATTTGCTTTTACGTGCCAATCCTATGTATAATGAACACGTACACTATATTATGACAGTAGAACATCCATACTGTCCGAAGACACAGTGTTACATGCATGACACGTGTACACATATCCGGCATATATTTCCATTGTATCATGCTAATTTATGTATATATACAGTCTATTTACACACTATACACTATCACACACTATATACATTCACCATCAACACACTCAGAACTCCGCGAGTGTCAGCTGCCACACCCTCACTCCTCCAACATCTTTCTCGCCAACATTGCTCCTCCCACCATACTGTTATTGTTTGTATTACACTATTTACACATGTTATGTATACCTATCTACATGTTTTATTCACCAGAACTATGCAAGTAAGCCGGTATTGTGTCCAAACTTTACAGTGGCCACCATACACTGCACGAGAAATCACACAGCAGCCAGCAGACGACACTACGATTACGTCACCTCCCTCACCAAAATAGCTCCTCCCAACATACTCCTGTTGCTGTTATTACACTATATACACACATTGTATATACCCATGTACAAATGTGTTCACCATAGTGAACCACTAAGCTCGTATGATGAGCAAAACAAGAGTGGCTGCCACACACAGAGTGAGGCTACCTCGATTCTCTCTCTCTCTCCCTCACCACAATTCCTCCTCCCACAATACTATGCACAATGTTTATTATCACCACAATTCTGCTGTTATCACAATACTGGTCACTAAATCCTGTAAATACATAAGTGACCCCAAGTTTATTTTGTAAAGGAACCTAAGAAGTCGTTTAAAGATTCCTAGATGGACGAAATAATGCTGTGGTGCTGTGGCTAGTGCTGTGAACATAGTGAACAGCATTGAATCACTAATATTTGAACATTGTACACAGTCATTATCACACTCAGGCTCTTCTGTATTACTATCATGGCTAAATAAATAATACAAGTTATATATATATTTTGACATTATTAGGCGATGTTGTGGTCAGAAGCTGAACAGCAGTGCTGTGAGCTCATGCTGAGTGCACCGGCCTTAATTGCTCACTCGGTACTGAGGCTCTCACACCCGGGAATGTGGACCAAGATTTTTTTTAAAGATGGCGTCTGTTTACAAGAGCCCTGAGGAAGCTGATGTGAACCCCCATGTAGCCGCGGGAGTTTTAAATGGAACGTGAAAAAATACAAATACCCGGAGGCGCATAGCACACCCCCAGACGTGGGCCTGCAGGCGCAGTCAAAGGGTTAATGTTAAAATGAAAGAATAGTCTCCAAAATTATCCTGTCAAACATACCTCGTACAGTGATGTCTGACATATCTTGTGCCTTGTAGGTGTTACTGGAGTACAAAATGCTAGGAGGAACATTGCCAAAAGCAGTTGAAAGTAAAGCAACTTTGTTAGGAGAAAGTCTAAGGGAAGCAGTGCGGGTGTGAGTGCGGTGGCTTGACAACATCCGAAGTGATGCCTGACGTTCCAAGGTTGATGACCCTCCACTCCATGATCCTGTAACATGAAGTAATTTGTTACATCAATGAATAGGCAAGTCACTGCTCACACCCATCTTGATATATTACTAAATAATAAAATGAAACAACGAGAAGATCCAAGAGCAACCAGTTTCCTCTTTCAGCGCCTTAGTGTGGCAATAGAGAGAGGAAGCGCACACTGCATCCATGATTCTTGCCCGTCATCTGAGGAGCTGGGAGAACTCTACAACCTGTGACAACTGTAACATAAGTTTACGTATACAGTACATATTTGGGTGTTAAGACATAAAACGTTTTGTGTTTTTTATATTTATTTAGTATAGACATGGTTACATCAGTCGGTTTGTTGGAGATGTAATGACATGCTGTGATAACTAAGACGAGGGCCTGGAGCAGGGCAGAGAGCATGAGTGAGGCCAGAATTAGAGTTCAGATGCAGGGGGTGAGAGTGTAGAGCGTAGCACTCTGAATTTGGAATCTAGCTATCTGCTCTGTAGTGAGGCTGAAACGTTTTGAGGATAGAAACTGGACTCGTCGAGTGTTACAATGTTGCTGGTGAAGGTCAATGGGAGTTGAAGATGTGTGGTATCTCTCAAGCTTCTGCGCTGAACCACTCTACGTGTTTAGATTGACTCTGATCTGCATACAACGGCTTATATTATAATCTAATCCTCACCTTGGCCAAACTGACCAATATCTAGCAGGTTGGGAAGAGATATTAATAGTAATTGGTTGTACACTTGGAAGGATGTATTAATTGTAATTAATTGTATACTTGGGAAGAGATATTAATTGTACTTTAATTGGTGGACCTAGGATTGGTGTGGAACTTCTTGGAATGTGGAACTCAGACATAGGTTATGAGGAATTAACAAGAACATCTAATTATCAGCAATTAAGCTAATAAGAATATGTGGTAAATATATTACAATACTTTTTAATATAGTTGCTATACAACTAGCTTTTTATCTTGCATGAAACCAATGTTGTAACCCATTTTGTGCAATGAAGTTTCAAATAAAATAACAACATATATATAATATATTGGGTATGGTAGGAGAAGACAACATGTGAGGGTATGCAGGTGCCCCACAAGGCATCCCCAGATGTTACATATCTTCTTCTAAGAGGCCGAAGGTCCCTACAAATGCAACCAGAGATGGTACCCCCCCTATTATATTAAAAAAACAAATTATACACTCCCCAACCTTGCTATCGGACCTCAATTTAGTTTTTTATTATTGTTATAATAATTGAGGCCTATTTAGTTTCGTGACCGGCCACCGAGTAGCCGGTGGCACGACCGTAATTTTCCTTCAGAGGCCTCAGTATTACTCAATACTGAGGCCCCCTCACACCCGGGAATGTGGCCCACGATTTTTTTTTTAAATGGCGTCTGTTTACAAGAGCCCTGATGAAGGTGAGGTGAACCCCGTGTATCCGCGGGCCGTTTAAATCTTGCATAGTACTCCAACACGTCATATGACGTGATGCGCAATTTATAGGAAGTTACTCAACACATCATATGATGTGTTGAGCAGTTTAAGGGTACCTCTCTCAACCAGTTTAAGGTAAAAACGAAGCACTACCTAATAAATTTCCTGTAACCTACCTCACCCCTCTATTGTCAACTCATGTCTGTTTTTTTAAAAACAACGCTGTTTGTCGACCTAATTGTTATTTGTGCTGCTTTTTCAGCCATGTTCCCCCTTTTTTGTCTTTATTTTTATTTGTTCTCAACACATTTTATTCTTTATACTCAATTAGTATTAAGTTTTAGTCATTAATGTTTTTCCTGCCCGAAACGCTTTGCATAATAGTGGCTTTAGGCATTGTAACTCTATCTATAAATTGATCAAATTTTGGAAAATCTCTTGTATGTATGTACCTTACCTGAATAAACATTTATTTATTTATTTATTTATTTATTTATTTATTTATAAATATGCATAAACTAGAAGATAGAAGAAAAAGAGGCGATATGATCACTGCATACAAAATAATAACAGGGATTGATAAAATTGATAGGGAAGAATTCCTGAGAGCCGAAACTTCAAGAACAAGAGGTCATAGATTTAAACTAACGAAACAAAGCTGCTGGAGGAATAAAAGAAAATTCACTTTTGTAAACAGAGTGGTAGACAGTTGGAACAAGTTAGGTGAGAAGGTGGTGGAGGCCAAAACCGTCAGTAGTTTCAAAGCGTTATATGACAAAGAGTGCTGGGTAGATGGCACACCACGAACGTAGCTCTCATCCTGTAACTACACTTAGGTAATTACATATATAGAGTATATATATACACTACATTATTTATATACAACTACTGCATGCATATGACATAAAATAATTATTCACATTCTATGAATAATTATTCACATTGTGCACATACTAAAGTAATACTAACATAAATATAGTAGAAGAAATTATTGCACTAGCAATGATTCAAAGCAAAATTGTGAAAAAATGGCTTAAATATGACTAGAGATGATGTGCTGACCTGGTGGAGTAGGGCTTGGTGTAATAATTTTATCTGAAGGTTGGGATGATCCTGTGATGAGTTCTACAAGGTCCGTCTGAGCGGCGGCATGACAAACATTGCCCTTGCACATAGACTCTGCACCACATAGGTGAGTCTTGTCAATGCCTGCCAGTAATGGATGGCTAGATGAGCCAGTGGGCGATAAAGTGAAAGAAATGCTAGGGGATTTGTCAGGCACTGCCATTGGCTGATAAGTGTTGGGTTGGACAATGCCGTAGCTATGTCCAGTATAAAAGACTTTACACTGTCGAATAAGATTGGACAGAGTGGCATGGATGTGTGCCAAATCTGGAGCAACAAGGCTTGGAAAGGTAGCAGCAAGTGTGGTTCGAACAGTTTCTGCTTCAGCATGTCCACCATCTCTTGTGAGTTTATGAATCACCCAGCATAACGCATCACCCAGAGGCGTAAACTGCCCTTGTGGCACTTTCACTACACTACATCCTGAGAGCTCACCTGCAATACAGAAATGAAAAGAAACATTGTAAACAGGATAAAAATAATAAAGAGTAATTATAAAAATTGTAGACTTATATACAGAAGCGTACAGCAGTACAGTACTGTACTTGCATTTTGCATTTTATAATTTTGTAATTATACTTTCTGGGGGAACTTTCCAGAGGCTTCCTGAAGCTACCTTGCTGAGACTGCTCCATACTAAAAGGTCACATCAGTCGTGAAAGTTCTGTTTGGCATACCAGAGACTTAGAGCCTGAACCTGGCCCCCTCTGAGGCACAGGAAGCAAGTGAGAATTTGCCACCCCACTGAAAAAAAGTCTCCAGAAAGTCAGTGAAGCTTTACAGACATCTGGAGGGTTCACAGAAAACAAATACTTGAAGCAACCAAACAACTGTGCAAACAGTTCATACAAAACAAGGGATTCATTCAAATTAGCTCAAAACTCATTAGTACTGATAACCAGGAGGCAGCCTGGCCCCAGCCCTCAGCCCCTGGTCAGTTCTGTTGCTAATTTTTGCCTGTAGTGTTCCAGTTTGCTAGTCATAGGCAAGCTGCATCTCTTCAAGCTATAGGCATTGCCCATCTTTGGACTTTATTCTGCAGGGGCCATTTGTTTGTTGTATTAGTTGGTTTTAGCATTAGCTTCAATTGTGTGTCTTTGATCTGGCTGTTGTGTGGGCTTAGCTCCTGTTGCATTTTGGGCTGCATGCACTCAGGATTGTCTTCCCAAGGTGCCTGCCAACATTGCACTGCACAGATGAATGGGTTGGATTTTTTTACTGAGTTACGTATGAGCCATTTAATTTTGAGTGATTCCTTTGCAGTGTCTGTTGGCTGTTTCAGTACTTCGTTATCATGATCCAAACAGTTGTCTGTCTTATATTGTCTGCTTTCTATGTGCTTTTTTCATGATGGTGATCGATGATTTCGTGACAGTGACCCCCCCTGCTCCATGTGCCACTTCGAGGGGCCAGGTTCTGGCCTCCAGTAGGCCAACAAGTTTCCTATGATTGATGTAATTAATTATTGAAACCTATATCAGCAACATAGCTTCAGAGAGCCACGAAGAAAGTAAGGTCATGAGATACATTGTGAAATTTGTAGATCACTATAGAGACAAGATAATTACATGAACTAAAGGATAAAAATAAGGAAAGAAATTCTGGAATAGGTAGCGAGTTTTAAATGCATGTAGTACTTAGATGAATGAGAATATGAAATGAAAAATAAGAGAGGCTAATGAGTATAATGAATATAATGAAAAGAATATATGGTACAGTATTATGAAAGTTAAAAAAAAAAAAAGATAGTATGTTAATTTCAGCTTTGACATATGGAAATGAAACTTGGGTATGGAAAGGGGAGCAAACTGCTTAAGAATATGAAAAGTGGAAATTATTTTATTAAAAAAGCAACTGGTGTATCATGTACAGTATGTGGAAGTATCATGTATGTGGAATAGAATAGGGAGCCGGTCGGCCGAGCGGACAGCACGCTGGACTGGTGATCCTGTGGTCCTGGGTTTGATCCCAGGCGCCGGCAAGAAACAATGGGCAGAGTTTCTTTCACCCTATGCCCCTGTTACCTAGCAGTAAAATAGGTACTTGCGTGTTAGTCAGCTGTCACGGGCTGCTTCCTGGGGATGGAGGCGTGGTCGAGGACCGGGCCGCGGGGACACTAAAAGCCCCAAAATCATCTCAAGATAACCTCAAGATAACCTAGGTATAGGAATGAGGTATAGCAACGAGTAAGTAGTGAACTGTATAAGAGGGAAGTGTTATTCATGAAGGAGGATTGAGTTAATTAAATGTGGAATGAGTGAAGTGTGACATACTTAGGTGGTATGGACATGGTAGTAGAATGTCAGAGAATCATTAAATGAGAAGGGTGTTCAAGGCAGCTCCACAATAATAATATCCTCATTTTCAATACAAATCTTCATAAAACACACCAAACATTGTGATATTGAAGCCTGTTGGGGCAGCAAGGAGAGCTCTAGACCAGGCATGTGTTAGGGTAGCCAGAACACAGGGACGACCACCCACCAGCAGGATGCCCCCAACCAAGTGCCCCACATATACAGTCTCCTCCACTGCCATCACTAACTCTTTATCCCATACGCAGACCAAGTTTGCTGCTTGCCATGCCTGAAATTAATAAGATAGATAATCAAATGCAACACTTTTTACCCTTACACTGCTCTAATTGCTATGATTTCCTCCTGTGCCCAATCACCATATGCAATTGATGTTTATGGGTTTTCAGTACAGTATTATTTTTTCATGCACTCCTGGATGAAGGACTTTTTAATAGCTTAGCAATTTAATGGTTAAGAACTTATCAATAATAATAATAATAATAATAGTAATAATTATAATAATTTTTATTTGCAAGAAGGTACAATAGGTTGGTGAGATTATATAAGATTGGTATTTTTACATTTATGCAAACCCACTAACACACATAGCATTTTGGGCTGGTTCTTAATCTAATATATCAGATAAGATGAAAAGGTACATTGTAGCAAGGTTTTATATCAACAAATAACTACAATGTAAGTTGACGGAGGTGATTACACTAGTAAGGATATACAGTATGTCTTGAGTACTAATATTGGGGACAGTGGGTAGTACAAGATACAGTGTGAGTTTGAAGCACAAGGTAGGAAATTATGAGGATGAAATTAGGTACTTTTTGGTTTAACTTTTGAACAGGGGGATGGATTGGACAATTTTTTTAATTCATCAGGGAATGAGTTGCAAAGACCCTTTTTTGAGTAAAAGGGGTAATAAAAGTGAGTTCCCTTTTATTTGCATGGAGTGTTTGCACAGATTTAGTCTGACACTGGGGATATCAAATATATATTTATTTCTGGTGTGGTGTTCATGGGTTCTATTACATCAAGGAAAAGTTTCAGTTCAAGATTAACAATTTAGGAACAAGATTTTGAACATGTAGATAGCACATGAGTGTGTCTGGAGTGAGTGTATGTTTAGCATATTAACACTTTCGTCCCCCCTTGGATGTCTGCAACATCCACAATTAACTCTGTGGATGTGCGACAAGGATGGCCGCGATGTCCAAAAATAAATTATTTGTTAAAAATCTATTTGCTCTCCGATCATTATGGGACTATTTTTAAAATGCGTACCTTTAGATTGAGGACCATTTGATACCAGAATGAACAACGTAGCATGAAAATTAAGGTGAGAAAACTGAACAGAGTATACACATTTTAGCGTTGGTGTGTGGATGGGTGCTTGTTCATGGGTAATGCTTGGCGGACTTTCTAGTTTGCTGTGGGTAGCGCGACTGTTTATTTTTATCTTATATACATATATCCCTTTAGAAAAATATATTGCGAACAAATTGATACCAAAATAAATGATGTAACACGAAAATTGACGGGTAATGCCCATGGGTAATGCTCGGCCGATTTTCGGGTTTGCTGTAGATGGCACGCCGGGCTTTTTTTTTTTCTTTTACCTTATATGCATATATCCCTTTAGATAATTCTATTGCAAACAATTTGGTACCAAAATGAATGATGTAACACAAAACTTTACATGAGAAAACAAATTTTAGTGCAGGTGTTGTGGGTGTGCAGATGGGTGCTCGCCTATGGGTAACACTTGGCCAATTTTCGGATTTACTGCAGGTGGCACGACGAGCTTTTTGACCTTATATGCATATATCTCTTTAAAGAATTCTATTGCAAATATTTTGATCCCAAAATGAATGATGTAACACAAAAATTGACGTGAGAAAACACATTTTAGTGCGGGTGTTGTGGGTGTACGGATTTTGGGTTTCCTGCAGGTGGCACACCAAGCTTTTCTGGGGGAGCCCCGTCGGCTTCCCGGAGCTGAATGGTTATGTATAACTTTCTGGCATCAGTCAAAATGTTTGGAGTTCTTGCCTACCGGGGACCACAAGCCAGAACCTGGCCCCCTCAGAGAGGCACGAGGAGCAATGGCCTATAGAAACCCTCCTGTGGTTAGAAGCATTCTATGTCTGCCATCAACTGGAACAGGCACCCAGAAAGGTAGGCACCCCAAAACAAACCCCTATTCTGGTGAAAATATTGCTACCGAAAACCGAACGAGTGGACAGAACTCCCCAAACAAAATTATCAAAGTAGCAAGACGTCATCACGCCGTCGTCTGCGCAACACTCCCCCCCCCTCTCCCCGGAGGGGAAAGGGGGGGCCCCAGACCATCCTCGCCGGCGATCTAACTGGCAATTCTTGGCTGATTGAATTACTGGCTGGTCGAGTGCCTCTGGCTCTGGTTTTTGTTTCAGTTCTGTGCCTTGTGGTGTGGACTGTCTCTACTGGTGGGGTGTGAGTGCAGAGTGAGATTCCATGGAACTTGGGCTGCATGCGCCTAGGGCTCTCTTCCCTAGGTGCCCTGTAAGTACTGCCCTTGGGGCTTGGGGGCACCTTCCACAAGTCACCTTGGGTTCTACCTCCACTGTGTCCTTTACTGCTCGGTACTGGGCCGCCCTTGGAGTCGGCTGGGATTTTGTTGCCCTTGTTTGTCTCTGGGTAGGAGGTAGTTTTCGTCACTGGTAGGGGCGCAGGGTGCTGTACAGCTAGTTTTCACCAATAACAGCAGCTGGCTCTGTTTCGCCTGGGTACGTTGTCCTCTTGTGGGGGTTTTCTTTTGATTTTGTTTTTGCCTGGTGGGGGGGGGAGGGGAGTGCATGAGGGCGATCTCATGCACAAGCCCTATCTCTGTTAACCCGGAGGAGGCTGCCGTAAGCCCAAGGATAAATTAGATACAGAGAAATTAAGCATACTTGCCACAGGGTCAGTGAGTACATAGCTGGTGCCAAGTGTGAGAGAGAGGGGACGCCAGCGAGGCGACAGATCTGACCAAAATTCAATTTTTTTATTCAAGAAAATTATATACATAGATGATTTGCAAACATAAAGTTGGATTTATAGATAGAGCTAGCCATACAATACCTAAAACCCATAATACGCATAACGTTTCGGGCAACAGTTCGTTTCAAATTCATTTCCATTTAGTACGACCCTTTGTTTTCTATCCTTCAAACATTGTTTTATCCATTCTAATATTTTACCATTTATTCCACGGGCCATGGAATATTTGCAAAATATACCTGGAAAAGATTAAGACAAATGGGGGGACCTTCGACAAGCCGCCGGCTTCCGTCCTCGTCGAGGGCCACTAGGGTTAGTGGCCCTCAGGTAAATCAGGGCCTGTAATTTCCTTGCCAGTCTTTCATTTATTCATAACGTCAGATGTAACACAGACAAGGAGAAATGGTTTCAAGCTCAAGAAGCCATAATGTAAGACTGAGAACAGGAGATGCTTTTTCACCACCGAGTTATAAACCCATGGAACCGCCTATTCGCAAACGCCAAACCTCTGTTAGGTTTTAAAATCCACCTAGAAAATATCATCAAAACAAATGATGCAGCGGGGTCCTCGTCAAGCCGTCGGCTTCCTGTCCTCGTCAAGGCCACTAGTCTTAGTGACCCTCAGGAAATCAGGTATATTCAAAGATTTCATTAAGAGTCGAGTGTTGTATGAGGCCTGTGTTTGTTATTCTAGTTGCTGATTTGTGCTGAATAATTTGACCGTAATGTGAAAAAGATGAAACCTACCGGAATCGTCCAGAGTCGGTGATGAGATCGTGGTTTGTTTTTGCTCCCCAGAATATTTCTTGGTTCCACCCGCACGGTTATAAACCATGAAACCGCCTACCCACCGAAGCCGTAAATGCTAAAAGACTTACATTTCAAAATCCAGCTTGAAACACATCACAGGGCAAATGGGAGGACCCTTTGACAAATCTCCGACTTCCTGCCCTCGTCGAGGCCACTACAGTGTTAGTGGCCCTCTGTTAAATTCAGGTAAAATTCAGATGCCAGTGGCCACCAGTGCATCACAGGAGACTGAGCAGACAGTTTAAAACACTGGGAGGTTGGTCGATTAAGTAATGTGTTCAGAAAAGTCTTCCAAGGCCATGTGATAAAAAGAAAATAATGAGATTCGACTTTTATCGCGCAATTGAACTAAAGAGTTAAAAAAAACTGGAAAAGACGCTACCTTTTTCAAAATGTGCACTCCCCTTGCTCTCCCACTGATACACTTCTACAGTATAGTAGGTAGCCCTAGACAGACGTGTTTCAGGTTACATAACATGCAGGTGTACATTACAGTAGATAATACAAGACATAGGTCTTTTAAAGGTCATATTACATGCACGTGTATAGTAGGTAGAATGTATTTGTTTTAATCACATGGGCCTAATATGTAGGCATTTAGTACCTAGTAGGTGGCAGTAGAGAGGTGAGTAATAGGTTACATATCAAGCACTTGTGTTGCAGTTTTTACCAGAAAGAGGAGGTATCCATCCTGATGGTTGGTAATATGGGTGATGTTTGATGCTACAGACGTCGGTCCACTAGTGGTTAGGGAGGCCATGGACGGGCCATTTGTGGGCGTGGGCGTGTCGCTGCCAGTGGGGGGCGACGTCGGCGAGATCAGGCTTTTCTGGCCCTGGTCCCGAGACCAAGGTCTCGCTCCCACGTCAGTCCGGGCCTCCGGCTGGGCGGATGGTAGGGCAGGCGGCGGAAGGTCTCTGGAGAGTTTGATCGCCAAGCAGCGCTGGTAAAGCACAACACTCTCACCCATCTGTGACAACATAAATGAAGATATATATAGAAGATATATATATGAACATATATATATATATATGATATATATATATGAAGATATATATATGATATATGAAGATATATATAGAAATGAAGAGATATATAGAAGAATATATGGCAGGCGAGGATTTGCGGCCAGTTATCCAAACTTTTAACCGCAGCTTAATTGATCTATTAATATGGGCGTTGGTTAACGCAAATCACTGCCCGGTAGCCTACTTTTAGCGTTGTAGCTTACTATATCAGGTAATAAATGTCCTGTAGTGTGTGCTGAGGACCTGAAGGATAGCCACGACCATGTAGCCTAAGACATTAGAAACCACCCATTAACCTGAGGGCCACTAACAATCTAGTGGCCTCGGCGAGGACAGGAAGCCGGTGGCTTTGCAAAGATATTTGATTACACAAATATTTGTTCATTGATATATATCAAGTTATCATATTAACATGTATCAATGAACGGCACGTTAATGTGATTTCTGTGTGTATTGAAGGAGGGGCGTCAGAGGTAGAATTACTGGTTGACAGAGCCAGAGTGCATGGGGGGGGGGGATTGTGTGAAACGCCGGTTAGACTTCAGTGGAAGCCTCTGGATCCTTGTGGGTGTAGTAGTACTCCAGGTTGCAATTATTTTACCATGTCGTGGTGAGTTGACTAGAGCGCGCCTGGAAACACCCAGCACCTAGGTTCGAATCCTTATCAAGGCTCCTGTTGGATTTGTTCAATAATAATAATAATTCATTGTGTAGGGGGACAGGCAGCCAAAGTGTATTTATACACGTTAGCCTTAATTTAATTAATTGAATTCTATATAGAGGTCCCCCCCCTATGGTGGAATTACTGACCCCGCCCAGGATGCAACACCATAACAAGCTGACTAACTCCTGGATATCTACTTATAGGTAAACAAGAGCTTAGGTGATGAGAAATTTGCCCAACCATTTCTGTCCCGCCCGGAATTCGAACTCTGAATTCTCAACTGGTAGTCGAGAACAGAGCCGGCTGTAGTACCATGACCCCTGTTTCACCACTATATACAGTTTATACCCTCAGGCTGACCACCCCACAGGTTATGACCAGTCCAAGGCACTGCCCAGTCAGCACAATATCCAAGAGCAACAACAATTCCACACAAAATCAACGTTCAATTACCGTTGATAATTAAATAATACTAATAATTGTGATTCAATTGTATAGATCTCTGGTGCGCCCTCATTTGGTTTACTGTATCCAAGCATGGAGACCTTATCTTCAGAACACAGCTGCTCTGGAGAACGTGCAACAAAATAGAGAGCTAAGTCAACTCACGCATCATGAACGGTTGAGGGCCACAGGGCCATCACCCCATGCCCACGGAATGGGTATGGGGTGCATAAAGAAAAAAAGAATACCTAATTGTATTTGTGCTGCTTTTTCAGCCATGTTCCCCCCCTTTTTTATCTCTATTTTTATTTGTTCTCAACACATTTTATTTTTTATACTCAATTAGTATTAAGCTTTAGTCATTTAAGTTTTTCATGCCCGAAACGCTTTGCGTAATAGTGGCGTTAGGCATTGTATGTACTAGCTCTATCTATAAGTCAACCAGTCTTTGTAAAATCTCTTGTATGTATGTACCTTACCTAAATAAACATTTATTTATTATTTATTTATTATTATTATTATTATAGAAATTTCATAGAACAGGACTAACACTGCAAACCAGACATGACAGGGCGGATCTCATTGAAACTGTTAAAATACTGAACAATTTGAGGATGTGGATCCGAAAAATTTCTTCAAAAGGTCAGATGTTTCTTTCACAAGGTCCTTTCTTCACAAGGAGCAACGGTCTCAAGGTCAACAAGCCACAATGTAGGACTGAGAACAGATGCTTTTTTCACCCACAGGGTTAATAAACCCATGGAACCGCCTACCCGCCGAACCCGTAAATGCCAAAAAACTTAACTTTTAAAGTACCACTGGAACAGATCATCAAGGCAAATTGGGGAGACCTTCGACAAGCCGCCGACTTCCTGTCCTCGTCGAGGCCACTAGTGTTAGTGGCTCTCAGGTAAATTCAGGTAACGTCGATGAAACGTCGAACCAACGCCACTCTTGGATATTGTGGCCACTGGGTGGATCGCTCTTGTTAGGCTTAATAGGTCACCAAGATTGACAACCGAGGTTATTGACCACCCAGATTACTGACACTCCAGGATACTGACCCGCAACAGGTCGACCCACCACAGGCAATTCACCACAGGACTACAAGACTTTTAAGACTATAAGATTATCACCAGACTAGTCCTTGAACTGAGAGGTATGAGCTACAAGGAAAGGCTATGGGAGCTAAACCTCACATACTTAGAAGACACAAGAGTAAAGGTAGACATGATAACCACCTACAAAATTCTTAGGGGAAACTGACAGGGTGGACAAAACCAAACTATTTAGCATGAGTGGAACACAAACAAGAGGACACAGGTGGAAACTTAGTACCAAAGTGAATCACAGACATTAGAAAACCCGGCCTAAGGCCAGGCTCGATTTGTGATTACTTGGTCCAACAGGCTGTTGCTTGGAGAGGCCCGCAGGCCCACATATCCACTACAACCTGGTTGGTCCGGCACTTCTTGCAAGAACCTGTCCAAGTGCCTCTTGAATACATCCACCTTCGTTCCTGCCATATTTCTAATGCTTGCTGGGAGGGTGTTGAACAGCTGTGGACCTCTGATGTTAAGTCTTCTCTGTGCCTATGGCACCTCCACTCCTCACTGGTTCTGTTCTGCATTTCCTTCCATGTCTTTCACTCCAGTATGTTTTATTCTACTGACTACAATGATAGAGAGATTGAAATTCTTCAACAATTAAAAGATATGTTCAATAGAATGACAAACTGGAGTGAAAAAATACTGACACTCCTACTAAAAACATGGAGTAGAAATAAAATCATGCAAGAATTTAAGTGTTATGAGTGCATGGCGAGGAAGGCAAAGTGTTTAGTGGCAGATCCACAGCTATGTAAAAGTCCGCCCGATGAAGTTGTCGCTAAAGTAATTGAGTTCTATCATTCTCCAGAAGTGAGCAGTAAAATGCCAGGATTGAAAGACTGTGTTTCTGTAAAAGGAGCTGATGGAAATCTGGAAAAGCAAAAATGTCTAGTGTTGTGTAATTTGATGGAAGCATATGCAAATTTTAAAGAGCAATATCCATCAGTGAAGATTAGATTGTTAAAGTTTGCAGAGCTTCGGCCAAAGGTGTGTTACCAGCGCATATGTGTTACTGGCACATATTCTGTGCATTTGAACTAAACACCAAAATGTTAAGCTAATGATATCAGCTACTGAAATATCAGCTTAAGCATAATTCAACGGATTGCCTAAGTCCTGGTGTGAGTGGCCCATCAACATCATGATCACAATGATAATGGCCCCGATACAAACTATATTGATCACTATAGCCATTGTCTTCCCCTTCTCCAATGTATCCAGCAACAGACAATATGGGAATGTGACAACTGCCCAGATAAACACACACATTTACAGACCCATTAACTGAGGCATTTGACAGAAAGGGTGATTGATGACATCAAATTCAGACAATGGATTTCAACAGACCGGTCAACATTGTAAACTCAAGAGGATACTGCACAGGTCAGTGGTTGGCCTAGGTTGACCTTACACATGATGCCTCTGTTTACCTAATAGTAAATGGGTGCCTGGGAATTGGTAACTGGTATGGGTTATCAAACTGTTATCAAACTTTCGTCATGGCAGCTACTAGGTTAATAGTGTAATGGAAACCCTCTAGATAGTTTAGAACAACAGATACAGCCCAAATGCCCTACGACACTTTAATAATCATAATACAATACTGTAGTCCCCGTGGCGCATTGGTAACACACTAGCCTTGCGCTTCGCGAACGATTTGGTTTGGGTTCCTATCCTGGCCGGGGAGAATTGACTAGGCGCCAATCGTTAACTGTAGCCTCTATTTACCCAACAGTAAAATGGGTACCTGGTTGTTAAACGATTTGGCAGGTCGTATTCCGGGAAATATTTGGATTAAGGACTTGCCGGAAACGCTATGCCTGCTAGTAGCTGTACAAGAATGTAAGAACGTTTGTATATATAAATAAATAAAACTATGTAAACTGACATCTAATAGGATCTAAAGGCCTTGGCATCACGTGGAGAGACCACGTCACAAACAACACAGTGCTCGAGAGAACAGGAATCTCTTCAATGTTCTCTCTCCTGAAGCAGAGACGCATGCGAAGGCTGGGACATGTCACACGTATGGAAGCATATGCCGCAGACGTTATTCTTTTTATGTGGGCTTCAGGAGACAGGTTTGGTGTGATATCAACTCCTAGATCTTTCTCTCTGTCTGTTTCATTAAGTACTTCATCTCCTATTCTGTATCCTGTGTCTGGCCTCCTGTTTCCACTGCCTAGTTTCATTACTTTGCATTTACTCGGGTTGAACTTCAACAGCCATTTGTTGGACCATTCACTCAGTCTATCCAGGTCATCATGTAGCCTCCTACTATCATCCTCTGTTTCACTCCTCCTCATAATTTTTGCATCGTCGGCAAACATTGAGAGGAACGAATCTATACCCTCTGGGAGATCATTTACATATACCAGAAACAGTATAGGTCCAAGGACTGACCCCTGCGGGACTCCACTTGTGACGTCTCGCCAATCTGAGACCTCACCCCTCACACAGACTCGTTGTCTCCTGTTGCTTAGGTACTCCTCTATCCAGCGGAGTACCTTCCCTTTCACTCCATCCTGCATCTCTAACTTTCGCACTAGCCTCTTGTGTGGCATTGTATCAAAGGCTTTCTGATAATCCAAAAATATGCAGTCTGCCCACCCTTCTCTTTCTTGCCTTATTTTTGTTGCCTGGTCGTAGAATTCAAGTAACCCTGTGAGGCAGGACCTGCCATCCCTGAACCCATGTTGATGCTGTGTTACAAAGTTCCTTCGCTCCAGATGCTCCACTAGTTTTTTTCGCACAATCTTCTCCATCAGCTTGCATGGTATGCAGGTTAGGGACACTGGCCTGTAGTTCAGTGCCTCCTGTCTATCCCCTTTCTTGTATATCGGGACTACGTTAGCTGCTTTCCAAATATCTGGCAGTTCCCCTGTTGCCAGTGATTTGTTATACACTATGGAGAGTGGTAGGCACTATACACTATGGAGAGTGGTAGGCACTATACACTATGGAGAGTGGTAGGCACAGTTCTCTTGCTCCTTCCTTTAGAACCCAAGGGGAGATTCCATCTGGGCCTATAGCCTTCGTCACGTCCAACTCTAGTAAACACTTCCTTACTTCCCCACTGGTAATCTCAAACTCTTCCAGTGGTTCCTGGTTAGCTATTCCCTCACTTACCTCTGGAATTTCTCCTTGCTCTAAGGTGAAGACCTCCTGGAATTTCTTATTCAATTTCTCACACCCTTCCTTGTCATTTGTAGTGAATCCTTCTGCCCCTATCCTTAATCTCATAACCTGTTCCTTTACTGTTGTTTTTCTCCTAATGTGGCTATGCAACAATTTAGGCTGAGTCTTTGCCTTGCTTGCGATGTCATTTTCGTATTGTCCTTCTGCCTCTCTTCTCATCCTGACATATTCATTCCTGGCATTCTGGTATCTTTCTCTGCTCTCCAGAGTCCTGTTATTCCTATAGTTTCTCCATGCCCTTTTACTTTGCTGCTTAGCTAGCCTACATCTCTGATTAAACCATGGGTTTCTCATTTTCATTTCTCTGTTTTCCTTTTGGACTGGGACAAACTTGTTTGCTGCTTCCTTGCACTTCTGCGTGATGTAATCCATCATATCTTGGGCCTTTTTTCCCCTGAGCTCTGTTTCCCATGCTATATCTGTTAGGAATTTTCTTATCCCCTCATAGTTTCCCTTTCGGTATGCAAACCTTTTGGTTTCGGTATCCCTCCTCGAGTTCAATAACCCTTCTTCAATCAAGTACTCAAACACCAGTACACTGTGGTCGCTCATTCCTACTGGGTCCTCAAACCCGATTTCTCTTATGTCGGAGTCGTTCAAAGTGAAGACTAGGTCGAGTCTCTCTGGTTCGTCATTGCCTCTCATCCTTGTGGGTTCTCCGACATGCTGGGTTAAAAAGTTGCTTGTGTGTGTTGCACACGTGTGCGTGTGCGTGCGTGCGTGCGCGTGCGTGTGTGTGTGTGTGTGTGTGTGTGTGTGTGTGTGTGTGTGTGTGTGTGCGTGCGTGTGCGTGCGTGCGTGCGTGCGTGCGTGAGCGTGCGCGCCTTGTCATATATTATTAACTTTGTATTAACATCCCTCTCTAGTCCATTCCATTTACATGCCAGCCTTAAGCCTACCACTAATCAACACATCAAGCCTTGCTGATTGCGCGCGTGCACGTGTCCAGCCTTACACTACACCTGTCCTGCCTTACACTACACAGATTCAGATTCAGATTCAGATTCAGATGTTTATTCAGGTAAGGTATATACATACAAGTGATGTTACATTAATGGATTGATATATAGATAGAGCTAGTACATACAATGCCTAAAGCCACTATTACGCAATGCGTTTCGGGCAAGAAAAACATTAATATCTACAACTTAATACTAATTGAGCAAAAGAATAAAAGATGTTGAGAACAAATACAAATAAAGATAAAAAAAAAAGGGGGAACATGACTGAAAAAGCAGCACAAATACAATAGGTTGACAAACAGTGTTGATTAAAAAAAAGAAAAAAAAAAGAAAATAACAGACATGGGTTGACAATAGAGGAGTGAGGTAGATTACAGGGAATTTATTAGGTAGTGTTTAGTTTTTATCTTAAACTGGTTGAGAGAGGTACAGTCTTTAACATGGTTGGGAAGGTCATTCCACATTCTGGGCCCCTTGATTTGCAGAGCATTTCTAGTTTGATTAAGACGTACTCTAGGAATATCAAAACTGTATTTATTTCTGGTGTGGTGCTCATGGGTTCTGTTACAACCTTCTATGAAGCTTTTAAGATCAGGATTGGCATTATAGTTTAGCGTTTTATATATGTATAATACACATGAGAGAATGTGCAGTGACTTAATATCTAACATATTAAGAGATTTGAGTAGGGGTACCGAGTGATGTCTGGGGCCAGAGTTGGATATTGTTCTAATAGCGGCTTTGTGTTGGGTAATTAGAGGACGTAAGTGATTTTGGGTAGTAGAACCCCAAGCACAAATACCATAGTTGAGATAAGGATAGATAAGGGAGTAATAGAGAGTCACCAGAGCAGGGCGTGGTACATAATATCTGATCTTAGAAAGAATGCCCACAGTTTTTGAAACTTTTTTTGATATATTTAGAATGTGTCCCTGGAAATTCAGCTTGTGGTCAATGAGAATGCCAAGGAATTTGCCATCTAATTTGTTACAAATTTGGGTATTGTTTATTTTGAGATTTATAAGACTAGAGGATTTATTGCCAAACAGAATATAGAAGGTTTTGTCAATGTTAAGGGTGAGTTTGTTGGCAGTTAGCCAATGATGGACTTTATTTAGCTCAGTATTTACTGTGGCATTTACACTGGCCTTACACTACACCTGTCCAGCCTTACACTACACGTGTCCTGCCTTACACTACACCTGTCCTGCCTTACACTACACCTGTCCTGCCTTACACTACACGTGTCCTGCCTTACACTACACCTGTCCAGCCTTACACTACACGTGTCCTGCCTTACACTACACCTGTCCTGCCTTACACTACACCTGTCCTGCCTTACACTACACCTGTCCTGCCTTACACTACACGTCTCCTGCCTTACACTACACCTGTCCAGCCTTACACTACACGTGTCCTGCCTTACACTACACCTGTCCTGCCTTACACTACACGTGTCCTGCCTTACACTACACCTGTCCTGCCTTACACTACACCTGTCCTGCCTTACACTACACCTGTCCTGCCTTACACTACACGTGTCCTGCCCTACACTACACGTGTCCTGCCTTACACTACACGTGTCCAGCCTTACACTACACGTGTCCTGCCTTACACTACACGTGTCCTGCCTTACACTACACCTGTCCTGCCTTACACTACACCTGTCCTGCCTTACACTACACGTGTCCTGCCTTACACTACACCTGTCCTGCCTTACACTACACGTCTCCTGCCTTACACTACACCTGTCCTGCCTTACACTACACGTGTCCTGCCCTACACTACACGTGTCCTGCCTTACACTACACGTGTCCAGCCTTACACTACACGTGTCCTGCCTTACACTACACGTGTCCTGCCTTACACTACACCTGTCCTGCCTTACACTACACCTGTCCTGCCTTACACTACACGTGTCCTGCCTTACACTACACGTGTCCTGCCCTACACTACACGTGTCCTGCCTTACACTACACCTGTCCAGCCTTACACTACACCTGTCCTGCCTTACACTACACGTGTCCTGCCCTACACTACACGTGTCCTGCCTTGCACTACACGTGTCCTGCCTTACATTACACGTGTCCTGCCCTACACTACACGTGTCCTGCCTTACACTACACGTGTCCTGCCCTACACTACACGTGTCCTGCCTTACACTACACGTGTCCTGCCTTACATTACACGTGTCCTGCCTTACACTACACCTGTCCTGCCTTACACTACACGTGTCCTGCCCTACACTACACGTGTCCTGCCTTACACTACACGTGTCCTGCCTTACATTACACGTGTCCTGCCTTACACTACACCTGTCCTGCCTTACACTACACGTGTCCTGCCCTACACTACACGTGTTCTGCCCTACACTACACCTGTCCTGCCTTACACTACACCTGTCCTGCCTTACACTACACGTGTCCTGCCCTACACTACACGTGTTCTGCCCTACACTACACCTGTCCTGCCTTACACTACACCTGTCCTGCCTTACACTACACCTGTCCTGCCCTACACTACACGTGTCCTGCCCTACACTACACGTGTCCTGCCTTACACTACACGTGTCCTGCCTTACACTACACGTGTCCTGCCTTACACTACACCTGTCCTGCCTTACACTACACCTGTCCTGCCTTACACTACACGTGTCCTGCCTTACACTACACGTGTCCTGCCTTACACTACACCTGTCCTGCCCTACACTACACCTGTCCTGCCCTACACTACACCTGTCCTGCCCTACACTACACCTGTCCTGCCCTACACAACACCTGTCCTGCCTTACACTACACCTGTCCTGCCTTACACTACACGTGTCCTGCCTTACACTACACCTGTCCTGCCTTACACTACACCTGTCCTGCCTTACACTACACCTGTCCTGCCCTACACTACACCTGTCCTGCCTTACACTACACCTGTCCTGCCCTACACTACACCTGTCCTGCCCTACACTACACCTGTCCTGCCTTACACTACACCTGTCGTCTGCCTCAACCTTCCCAGTACCCTCACAACCTGGCGCGGTGTTACCATGTGTGCGGCCTGGTATATATGGGAGGCGCCCACCTTGTAGACCGTAGTGGTGGTGGTGGTGTGTGGTGGCTGGGTGAGAGTTACGCCCACTCACACACTCACTCTCACACCTTCCACCTTCACATGTGCGTGCAGGTGGTGCAGCTTCCCTCACAGCTGTAGTGCCGACGCTGCACTCACTTTCATTAATTCATTTTCACTCCACCCCTCTTCCTCCATCAGTTATATATCACTGCCTCAGCACTCCTTCGGCCATCTCCTTAACACAAAACTAACAAAACGACACACATTCTTAAGTCCATTGTTATTTGGAACTTGTAGTTACATAAATTCACAATTAGTGTCACGGAATCGAGAGCTTGGTGCGTTACACCTCTCTCTTACATAGTCAGCGTGCAACTGTTTCCAGGATCACCTAGCAAGTGTTTTGGCCTGGGAAGATGGCAGTTCTTGTACTGCACACAAATCATACAATCAACGTTTACTTTGATTTGTATCACGATAAACCATATTTTCCACTTGAGAGAGATATTTTAATATTTTTTTCTGTCGATATTGCCGTGATAATCATAGTATTGACGCCCTGGAATGGTCAGAAAAATTGTGTTATCTTACACGTATTTTGCCGCACCTCCATTGATCTACAGCGACGACACCACACTCCTTCCATTTCACCTCAAAATTTGCAGCTGAGAGTGTATTACGCATAACTATCGAGTTTGTACAACTTATAGTCATGTATTATGTCATAAAATAACATTCAGTACTTTCTAGCATCACTCAGCTGAACAAAAAAATTTTAATGACATTTGGTCGTGCGTCTGGCGAGGAGGCCGAGGCGGCGCCGCAGGGCTGCCTCTGGGACCAGCCGATGGGTCAATTTTTTTATCAATTTAAAAAAAAATTCAAATTATTCCATCATGGACTCATAGATCAGCAACAGTCATGCGCAAGGCGTCAATAGAGCGTCAAGAAAATCTGTATTGCTATCTAATTAGTCGGTGTGGCTGCACTATCACCCAGTGAATGGTACAAATGAATTTCTGTGATCAGTCACGCCCTCTTGGCCGGGGAAAATGACAGTTCTGTCAGCTGGTTCTCCTGCGTAACCCAAATTCTGGCCCGTTATCCATTATTCTGCATCGTCAACCCTTAATTCTGCCCCATCAACCATAGCTCTGTCACCATCAACCATAGATTTACCACCATCAACCATAGCTCTGTTACCATCAACCATAGATTTACCACCATCAACCATAGCTCTATCACCATCAACCATAGCTCTACCACCATCAACCATAGCTTTACCACCATCAACCATAGCTCTGTCACCATCAACCATAGCTCTACAACTATCAACCATAGACCTGCCACCATCAACCATAATTCTGACCTGCCTTAATTTGTTACCGTGATGTCAATTCTTGATATCAACGTGTTTCGGTGTCTGACCATGCCTGCTGGTTGATGGTCTGGTCAACCAACCAGACTGTTAGATCCCATGGCCGGCAATCCCGTCCAATTAGCTAATATCTCAACTTGTCCTCTTACAAGTTACGTCTGAATTTGGCCGTTTGCCCGTATGGCCGAAAATGGACGTAATTTGAAAATAAAAAAATAATTGAAAATAAATTTTGGATTTTTTTTTCCAAAGCAGTAAGTTAAGGGTCCTCTGGTAGGTTAGGAGGGCAGGAAGTTCTCCTAAGGTTTCAAAACGTCCTGAAAACCGTTAATTAAAAGTTTCCTCTCCTAACCTAACCGAGTAAGCCGGAGGACTCAAAACAGAAAACGGGACAGTACATCACTTGGTGGAGCCGATTTCATTTCAAATTACGTCCATTTTTGGCCATAGTGCGCGCTATGGCCAAATATGTACGAAAAATGGAGCGAAAAGGGACGTTATTTTAAAAGGACGAGTTTATATAACCTGTCACTTCAATAAGTAATTGTCTATTGTGTCCATTAATTTCGCCACGTACGGTGACCGTTTCCAATCATTCTGGACCAACAACAAATGATATTCTGCTCAAGAATCATTTTTTACAACACCAATAATATTCATTACAATGCCAGTCGCACATATATATGTATAGGATCCTATAGTACATTGGTTCACGTTCTCGACTCACTATACTAAATAAAGTCCATCTTTGGCTAACTGCCAACAAACTCACCCTTAACATTGACAAAACTTTCTATATTCTGTTTGGCAATAAATCCTCTAGTCATATAAATCTCAAAATAAACAATACCCAAATTTGTAACAAATTAGATGGCAAATTCCTTGGCATTCTCATTGACCACAAGCTGAATTTCCAGGGACACATTCTAAATATATCAAAAAAAGTTTCAAAAACTGTTGGCATTCTTTCTAAGATCAGATATTATGTACCACGCCCTGCCCTGGTGACTCTCTATTACTCCCTCATCTATCCATATCTCAACTATGGTATTTGTGCTTGGGGCTCTACTACCCAAAATCACTTACGTCCTCTAATTACCCAACACAAAGCTGCTATTAGAACAATATCCAACTCTGGCCCCAGACATCACTCGGTACCCTTACTCAAATCTCTGAATATGTTAGATATTAAGGCACTGCACATTCTCTCATGTGTATTATACATATATAAAACGCTAAACTATAATGCCAATCCTGATCTTAAAAGCTTCATAGAAGGTTGTAACAGAACCCATGAGCACCACACCAGAAATAAATACAGTTTTGATATTCCTAGAGTACGACTTAATCAAACTAGAAATGCTCTACAAATCAAGGGGCCCAGAATGTGGAATGACCTTCCCAACCATGTTAAAGACTGTACCTCTCTCAACCAGTTTAAGATAAAAACTAAACACTACCTAATAAATTCCCTGTAATCTACCTCACTCCTCTATTGTCAACCCATGTCTGTTATTTTCTTTTTTTTTAATCAACACTGTTTGTCAACCTATTGTATTTGTGCTGCTTGTTCAGTCATGTTCCCCCTTTTTTATCTTTATTTGTATTTGTTCTCAACACTTTTTATTCTTTATGCTCAATTAGTATTAAGTTGTAGATATTAATGTTTTTCTTGCCCGAAACGCATTGCGTAATAGTGGCTTTAGGCATTGTATGTACTAGCTCTATCTATATATCAATCCATTAATGTAACATCACTTGTATGTATATACCTTACCTGAATAAACATCTGAATCTGAATCTGAATCTGAATCTATATTAGAGGACTCGAGTTCCATCCCCGGGCGGAACAGAAATGGTTAGGCACGTTTTCCTCTCATCTGATGCCACTGTCCACCCAGCAGTACATGTACGCCCCCGGCAGCTAGGAAAGTGTTGTGGGGTTGTATACTTTCGGTAGTTCCGCCTTGCTGGGGTCCTCGATGTAAGCCTAAAGTATGTATACACACAGGCTTCCTGTCCCCGGCAACCTAAATTATATTCCTACCCCGTGTATCATTAGAGTGCCACAACAACCAGTTTAATCCAACTTTGCTCCGTCGACCACTACTCTGTGCCATCAACAATTATATAATTACATCAGCCTTTATTTTACCACATTGAACCATTATTCTTGCCCGTCTTCCCTTATTGGTCTGTGTCAACCATTATTTATGCCCGAAACGCTTTGCGTAATAGTGGCTTTAGGCATTGTATGTACTAGCTATACCTATAAGTTAAACAATCCTTGTAAATATTTATTGTATGTATGTACCTTACCTAAATAAAATTGTATTGTTGTATTGTATTGTATTATGCCCGTCAGCCATTATTATACCCCGCATGGGGGGTGGGGGGTACCCGGCGTTGTCCGGGTGATGGAGGCCATGTGTTCACTACACACTCTCGTCATCACAGTAACCACCTTCACTACACACTCTCGTCATCACTGTAACCACCTTCACTACAGAGCTTCAAGGCTACGGTGCGTGACCATGCAGACAGGAGTTGGAGGCTGACAGATGCCCCGAGAGGCAGCCTTTCCACTTGAGTTAAGAGCTGGCGCTTGACATGAAGGGAGCCTTGTCTTGGCTGACGGTGAGGGAGACTTGTTTAGTTCATTTATTATGTACCCCATACTCATCCTGTGGGCGGTGGTGAACCCCATACCCATCCTGTGGGCGGTGGTAGACCCCATACCCGTCCTGTGGGCGGTGGTGGATCCCATGGGATACCCATCCTGTGGGCGGTGGTGGACCCCATACCCATCCTGTGGGCGGTGGTGGACCCCATACCCATCCTATGGGCGGTGGTGGACCCCATACCCGTCCTGTGGGCGGTGGTGGATCCCATACCCATCCTGTGGGCGGTGGTGGACCCCATACCCATCCTGTGGGCGGTGGTGGACCCCATACCCATCCTGTGGGCGGTGGTGGACCCCCATACCCATCCTATGGGCGGCGGTAGACCCCATACCCGTCCTGTGGGCGGTGGTAGACCCCATGCCCATCCTGTGGGCGGTGGTGGACCCCCATATCCATCCTGTGGGCGGTGGTGGACCCCATACCCATCCTGTGGGCGGTGGTGGACCCCATGCCCATCCTGTGGGCGGTGGTGGACCGCATACCCATCCTGTGGGCGGTGGTGGACCCCCATACCCATCCTGTGGGCGGTGGTGGACCCCCATATCCATCCTGTGGGCGGTGGTGGATCCCCATATCCTTCCTGTGGGCGGTGGTGGACCCCATACCCGTCCTGTGGGCGGTGGTGGATCCCATACCCATCCTGTGGGCGGTGGTGGACCCAATGCCCGTCCTGTGGGCGGTGGTGGATCCCATACCCATCCTGTGGGCGGTGGTGGACCAAATACCCGTCCTGTAGGCGGTGGTGGATACCATACCCATCCCGTGGGCGGTGGTGGACCCAATACCCGTCCTGTGGGCGGTGGTGGATCCCATACCCATCCTGTGGGCGGTGGTGGATCCCATATCCATCCTGTGGGCGGTGGTGGATCCCATACCCGTCCTGTGGGCGGTGGTAGATCCCATACCCATCCTGTGGGCGGTGGTGGACCCAATACCCGTCCTGTGGGCGGTGGTGGATCCCATACCCATCCTGTGGGCGGTGGTGGATCCCATACCCGTCCTGTGGGCGGTGGTGGATCCCATACCCATCCTGTGGGCGGTGGTGGACCCAATACCCGTCCTGTGGGCGGTGGTGGACCCCATACCCATCCTGTGGGTGGTGGTGGACCCCATACCCATCCTGTGGGCGGTGGTGGACCCCATACCCATCCTGTGGGTGGTGGTGGACCCCATACCCATCCTGTGGGCGGTGGTGGACCCCATACCCATCCTGTGGGCGGTGGTGGACCCCATACCCATCCTGTGGGCGGTGGTGGACCCCATACCCATCCTGTGGGTGGTGGTGGACCCCATACCCATCCTGTGGGTG